TTGGAACTTACTCATAAATAGAAAACGTATAGTAGGTGAGAAAGAACATGTAAAAACTGATATTTTGGTTAGAAGAGGTAATAATGTATGGCAGACAGCAATATAGTGGTCACGTATGTAAAAATCTCAATAGTTTTAAAACTAAGCCAAGAAAGTTGAAAGTCAGATGTAACTGCATATTAAAAAATGGACCAAAATGATCCAGAACCAAAATTAGGCACAAAGAGTGGATCAATGAGGAAATCACACTGAAGCTGTGTGATTTATATGTTAGATCAAACAGAATGGTCATCCTGATTAGGAAAGGTGGGCTTGAAGTAAATCACGGATTTTTCAAAATACATTTAATCTTTGATTCGGGGTGCGCGATAGACTTACCTCCACGTGGTGCACCCTGGGCAACGTATACTCATACGGCAAAAAAGTCTATTAACCGGCAGCTGACTTCCAACTTCAAACTACCATGGCCCGACTACTTGTCATATTCGACCCCTTCCACAGTACTCGTCTTACCTTTTTCTCTACCTTTGTGTTTGTCTGCCTCTTTTACATCTGTGAATCGCTCTTCTGTTCCCCACCCCTCGACTTTCTTCTACTTTGATTAACCTTCCCTCTATGAAGCCCGAAGTCAGCTAAATGGCTAATGATAGCTATCAAAACGCCTGCCATGTGAAATAAATAATAAATAAATAAATTTAATCTTTGATTCTTGTAACCTTGCAAACCTGTATAAAACCTAGAGACGTTTAACGCCTTCATTTTTACCTGGCTTATATATTTAACAAGCTTTAATAAAGAAATAAGAAGACTACATCAATAGTTTATTAAATTCCGTACGTCAATTAATTGTCTTCAATCCGATTTATGATATAGCCAGTCAATCCACAGAAAGAATTAAAATTAGAAACTAACCTGTAGTCGAATAACAAAGCGACAAGCGAGAACAAGACCAAGGACAATTGCATGAGAGGCCTCCTTCAGACCCTCACCCAGAGCCCAGCTGGCATAGAGGGAGAAAAAAAGGAGAATCGTGAGGACAATGTTGGCCAGATCGGCTGCATTCTCACAGCCCACCATCATCACCACACCACAGACTATCTCCATGGCACCGTAGAAATGACGCAGTGTGTCAGCGTCTGGTCGCCATCCAGTGATACATTGAAGGGGAAATACCTTTGCACTTCTCTCAAACATGTTTCGCTACTCAGGGGAGGAAAAATGCTATTAAAATGGACTTCAGAAGTTGTGACGATAATAGTACAATGTGAACATTTACTAATTCATGAAGCAAATCCTGCGAAAAAAGAGGCACAACTTTCAGAATTCCAAAGAGGACAAAAAACACCCCAATAATGACAGATATGGACTTCAGGGCAACGTCAGACATATTTCATTGCTAAAATAACAAATAGACACAATTGTCGTAAAAAAATTAGGTTTTAAAGAATAACGAAATAGAAATCCACATTTTATGACGATTAACTCTTGATTAGTATTTTTCAATCCTATGGATATAGTGAACAAAGCGTCTTCAAAGCCATTAATAGAGGAAAATCTGAAAATAAATGGAGTACGGTTGGAATAAAATTAGCACAAATTACTGGAAAACATTTTCAGTGTCTTATACGAAAAGGTCAAAGTACGCCAAAAAAGAATATATAAAAACTATAAAATAATAATTTAAACATGCTAACTCAAGAAGTGCCCATTCATTTTAAAATGCATTATTAAAAAACACAGAAAAAATATATGGTTACAAGATCAAGCAAAACTTGGTCGCATATTTAAAGGTTAAGCTCAAAATTAGATCTACTTACTAAGATTAATGCATAAATAGAACGACCGCCCTATGGATTAAAAAACGAGCGGTTATGCAAGGAAGGGATAAAGTTAACTAAAAACCAAAATGCTGATAATGAAATCACCAACGAACATATTTTACCATTAATTCATTTGTATTTAAGGATTTAAGTCGCGTAACATTCATTTCTCTTTTAATAAGATCGAACGGGAGAACTCAGACATACATTTAGAAGGCGAGCAAAACAATATTATTTCGATCAGTTTCAAACCCGAATTGTGGAAAACCATGCCTAAAAAGGTAAATTATTTAGACATGTGCTTCTACTAGTTACACATATATATATCGAATAATATTATGAATGCTATTACACTTGTTTAAGCAAATAAATGAAATAAGCATCTTTAAGCCATTCATACACTTCTAAACCCATGTATTAATGCCAAGAGTATTGTTGAAAACTGTGCGAAAACATATTACTATTTGATCCTTATGATCATTTTAAAATCGTTTCAAATTTCTTCAACAAGGAATAGTGCAAAATATGTCACTTAATTTGTATATAAGCTTGTCGTAATGTTTAAATTAATTGCTGCTGACAGAATTTAACTTGGCAAGTTATATAAATAAATAAAGAAAAGCTTAATACGTTATTTTAACATTACTATTGCTTTATTATATAACTCATGTGATTATGAAATATGCCCAAATCATATTATACAATTTAATGATTTAAGAATTTAAAGTGTTGGTAAACTGTATTTTGCAAATTAATCTGATCTAAACATTTTATGAATTTAACTTCTCCCAGCAGTATACGATTTGTTTGATTCTATAAACGAGCAACTAGCTATAGAGCGCAATTTAATTTTTTGCTAATCTCTTGGTTGTTAGGGTTTAAGTTGCCTATTTTGGATTTTTATTATTTCTTATTTGATATCGATTTCTGTCCCATATGAAGGATGAAGATAGCCCTCTAATTATGATTTATGCAGAAAATGGAGACAAAGTTTCTCCAAAACCCACATCAAAGAACGCTGGCTCTGATGATAATGAGGTCGACGAACCAGCGAAGAAAAAGATGCACCTTGATGAATCTGCTAGTAATGGGATTTCTACTAGTGAAAATATGCGGAATGATTTGTCAAAGATCTCCTCTCATCAGCTGTCTGAAGAATTTCTTAATTCTCCCATCTTAAATGAATTCATGGATCCTGTTTTGTTCGAACGTTTGAAAGGAACCATTAAGCTGCGATTACAAGGTTCTGTTTCCCAAGCTGTAAAAGGCTTGTTAAATGCGACACAAAGTTCAATTGAAGAAGGTAACCGCTTAAAGAAAATAAATAATGACTTGCAACGTCGGATTAGAAAGGTTGAAAAAATTACACAGAAAGTCAAAGAACTGGTTTCTGAAAGAGTAAGTGACTGACTACTTTTTTCTAATTTTTGGATACTCATTGGCTGTATTTCCTTCTTGATAAGATATAGGAGTACCCTTAATCTATGATTATGGGACTTATGTTCGCCTTGCCTTATTATTTTATTTAAATGAGTGACTTTGTTATAGGCTTTTCCCTAATTTATCCTTCTCAGCTAGTAAAATCCATTTTACTATTTTCCCAACCTTTTACTTGCTAAATTTTGGAAGTATGCCGAATATTGTTAGTGAGACTGGCTTGTTCTGAGTGGTAGCTTCCCATTTTTTGTATAATCTATTACATATTCTTTTGGAATCTAATCAGATCTTTTTTCACACTTTCGTTGATTCCTTTATTTTACCGTTAGTCAATTTAGTTCGTCCTAATATACCCCTTAGGAATGTTTTGTTTGGGGATATTTTTCTTTCTTTGTTTATTTTAGATTTCTTCTGCTGCTGCTTCTTCTTCAAACAATGACTATCATGTTTTCGAACCATCCACAAACGGATCTATTGTAAATACTCTCTCAGGTGCGCTTTTTCGCATTTTGGACACTTTAAATTGGTTCTGTCGTATTAATCTATTTTACTATATACGTAGGTGCTCGATCAAATTGTGAAGCTCCTCAACCCATATCTAATGAAACACAGATGAATATAGTCATTGAAACTGCTCCTTTACCCGAACTTGAACGCAATAATATTCTTTACGAATCTGCCCTTCCCCCTTTACAGCCTCCCCTTCGAATATCTTTCCATGTATCATCTGGAGGTATGTTTGTCCAAAAGGTAACTTAAATTTTTGTGTATATCATCTAACTCTGTTTTTTTTCTAAAAGAAACGCAACTCGCTTTCGAAATTGTTAAAACTGATTTTGCGTATGAACCCGCGGAGTCTTATGAGTTGTACAGCTATGCATCTGCAGACGTTGATCCTCAGATTGGTCTCACAAGTGCTCTTTGGCAGCGGGTGAGTTTCGTATTTTTCTCTAGATTGTTTACTTAATCAAATCGATTGCTAGCTGTACTATTGCGATAAGCGCTTTGGTAGAGTTAAGGTTTTCTGGTTTAATTTATATTGAGTGCTAGCTATCTGCCATCATTTTATCTGGGATTTTATTTGCAGACCCCACACTTTTGTGATGTCTATCTAATTTTTCATCGATTGCTCTCAGTATTCTCCTTGCCAATTTTTCCTTTCGCCCTTTCCCATGAATTTCTTTTATTCCTCTTTAAGCTTAGTGGGAAATTGGATTGAATGTCAGCTGTCTAAGGATGTGGGCTCATTTACTCTATCCTAGCCGGTTTCAATTGCTTTATTTTTTGCAAATTCAATCAGGGTCGTTTCCAAGTGTATTAATGTGTTTAACTACTTGTAAAGAGATTTAATCCACAATTTCATCGTATTTTCTCACCGATTATGATTTGTTTTATTTGTAGGTGGGAGGAATTGAGGCCATACCTCTCCCGATAATGTGCAAATTGGACTACCTGCAGCCGGGCAATGTTTATCACTTTGCAGCCTTTTCAATTGATAAGTATAGGAGAATGTCTGAGTGGTCCAATGTAGCAACCTTACCGGTGGGATTCCCTACTTAATTGATCTCATCCCAACTCCCCATTCTCTGAGTTTGCCTTATTTATTAGGTGTACATGTGTGCTTGTGTGTCTATGTATAGAATTGTTCTGCTTATATCTTCTGTACAATGTGTTCTTAAGAAAATGAGATCTTTGTGTAAAAGGGAGAGAGGACTCTCCGTCATCTGATTTAGGCTTTTCCATTTTCCCTATTCTCTCTGTACTCCTTCCTCTTTTTCTTAGGAAAATTGAAATTTTCTTTGTGTATAAAATCAAATTCCATTAATATATGAGATTTTCTGCTTTTACCTTTTTCATTTTGAATATCTGAAGTTTTAACTTAATATTTCATACGAGGAAGCTAGATAAGAACAAACAGGCCATATTTTTTACGATGAAAGCCTATTAGGAATAAATACTTTGAAATTTTTTGTTGCCTGGTTAGCCAATAATTACTGAGATGGGTTCATTGGTGACCTTATGGACCCCACTCTAAGCTTAGTGGTACATAATCGATAAACCATTTCAATGAATATGAGGTTGGTAAATTCGGTTCCTGTGCATCCAAGGGTTCGAATCGATTTTCTGAGTATATAGGCTTTTAAGAACCGATTGTTCCATACGCTGCATAGCTGTCGCTTTTGGGACCGGAGCAGGGGGAGGGTTGGTAACGCGTGGAACTCAGATAATCCTAACTATATCCATTGCGTTGCATAGCTTTTAAAAAGATTTCAAGGAAGGCATCTTCTATTCCTCACCACTTAAGAGGAGCATTCCCAGTTATGCGAAGCCAGCTGATGAACCTGAAAATTATCGGGTAAAATGAGCAATTCTAGTTATTGACGTTAGATTTCGTCGAAATTTTTATTACAAATTTTTATGGCGGGAAAAATCTTCTCTATTAGAGGTTCGGGATCACTAGGTATTACCTTGCTACCCTCTTCTGATAAATATTTATCAATGGTCATTGGTTTTATAATCAATTTGGTCTTATAAATTTATGAAGGAGAGCCATTAATTCAAACACTAGCCTGTTGATTCTTAGATTATTTTTCGGTAAGAAAATAGCATATGTGGTCAAATTCTGTAAACTCCGAATTTGAATTTCAATGAGAAATGGGTAGTCGTTTACGACGATATGACAAAGAAGATTTGGTGCTACACTTCAAATGTGTATTTATGGGTAATCTTTGTTAAGTGCCATTGTAGTGGATATTTCAAAATCCTTTAAGTTTTTGTAAGCGCACCAAATATCAGCTCTATCAGGGCTTGATGTTTATGTAATAAATGGTCTTCTACTTCCCTCTATGTATAAGTTCGTAATGCAGAAAATTAAAATGTTACTTTGATATCATATACTTTTGACACTTATCTCAAAACACACTTAGTGTGAAAGTAGGACAGAGTAAACTGGCTATTTCCATATCGGGTTGCGAAGGTCAAAGATCTAACTACTAAGATCAGTGCATTATCGATAAATCGTCTTTCATTAAACAAAAACGTAAATGCTAGCAAAATATTTTCATTTCGCCTGCAATACATGCAAATTTGGCAGCACGGGTCATAAACTGAAGAAACTAATGCACACTTCTATCTCTTTCTTCTGACTTTGAGATATAGGTAGGGCCTAGCTTTGATGGTGTAGGCCTATAGGGTGCTTAACGGATGGGGAAGTACCAAAAATCAAAGAAGGACAGCGGGGATTCTAGAAACTCGTTAATAAAGTCAGTTCTCATTTAGTAAGCGGAAACGAAAAGGTTTTAGTGTAGTTAAACTTAGTAATAAATAAAAGTTTGGGTTCAAAGTATATACAACCTTCCCAAGATGGAGATTGGAAAGAGTGAGATGATTGTAATTTGGCATAATATTTTTTCCAAATATTTATAGAAACTTCAAACCATTTTGTGTAATTCTCAAAAAGTATGGCCGTCTGAGGGCGATGCTCTAATTATATCACCCAAAACGCTCATAAGTCCAATATATACAAATTTCATTTGGAAACAGAAGGAAAGCGAATACATAGAATATAAAACCTTCTGACTTTCATCTGATTAACCTTGCTTTATGCGTACATTCTCCACACTAAATCTCCTCAGCCAAAATTGCATCACTAATGTAAACTGAGATAAGTAACAAATATATTGAACAGTTATTAAAGGCAGCGCAATATTATTTCCCTCTTTAACGACTGTAAGAAATATAAATCGCACAAAAGGCCTTTTTAAAATTACTCAGATTAGCACAACTTGATAAAAGAAAGTAAAGAAATAAATATTATTTCAATTAAAAACTGGTACGTTAAATGATATTTTGATAGATCCATCTTTTAAATTAATCTAAAATGAAATTATCATGCTAAAATTAATTGTTAATGCTTAAAGCAGAACGCGTTTTCTAAATATTGTTAAATTTAGACTTCTTCAGATACGTATAATTTTGTTTATATTTTGTACTTACATTCATAAAAGTTTGACCTAATTTTTGTTAGCATTCAAAATGGCAATGAAGCGATGCGGGGATGCGTCTTACCAAAGGAGCATGGAGAGTGACAGAATAAAGAAATTAGAAGAATTGGTATTTGTTATTTTTTCTCAAATGTTTAGATAACATCGGCGAATTCATTGATAAACGTTCTTTCCGTCGATGAACTTCCTCAGGCTTTTCGATTAGCTTTCAAGCTACTTGATCAAACAGGCAGAAATATATGTCTTACAAAAACTATATACGATCACACCACCTTTGCAGGTTTGAATGAATATTTTTAATGTCCATTTTTGCAGGAGAGAAACGCAGGCATAGTAGTTGTTCCTTCAGATCATTGCGTGCTAGTTCAATTGGATTGTCACCAGCATTTTGTAATTCTTCTGATCTTCAGTTAAAATATCTTCATCAAAGATTCGAACCAAACTTCTTAAACTCGAACGTAAGTATTGAATTTCAATTTTTTCTAGTGCATTTTGTTGAGATTTTATTTTCATTGCATTTAAAATAGTTTAGGTCGGCTTTTCTTCCTATTTCTTCCTTTCTATTTTGAAATGAATTTTTTTACCTGTACATACACTTGTTAACTCATACAATTATTTACACTTTGATATGGACAATATATTGATACATTATGGCAACTTACATTATGTACAAACTAATAATGTCTGAATAATCCAGTAATTTAATATAAACTTAATAAGTTACATTCCCACGTTTTAACTACATTTGACTTTAAATTTGTGCTAAATGGACTGTAATTGAAATGAATAATTAGGATGTTGTAACATATTTTAAAGCTATTTTCATATTCAACAAGTTGATTTCCATCTACCATTATGTTAAAACGAGTTGTAGTCTTTTGCTAGAAGGAATACCTCGGAACATGTGGAGAGAGAAAAAATACTAATAACTGGTGAAAATGTCTTAGGAAGAATTGCGGTTTCATCGCTTTGTCTACATTTTATAAGTTAGTAGAGTACGAATAGACTGATAATATTTTATAAGAAAAGTAGTTATGAAAATCAACCTTCAGCTTCTGTTAATGGAAAGGTTTCTAAACATGAACAGCAGTTAAACATGCTAGTAAATTTAGAGTCGAGAGTATGGGGCGATTGGAGAAGGGACATGGCAATTCTTGGCTCATATGATTTCATGAGCTACAGCGAGATCTGATATACTCAACTAGCACGTTTTACAGAAAATTCCCCTTATAATCCAAAGGTCAAAACTTATGCTCATATCCCTAGCTACTCAAAATGGAGTTCATGACCTCTAATATGTATGGAATACGATCAGGTGATTAATCTTGTTTAAATGAAATCCATTTTATTCTTTGATCTAATCATCTAGATAAAGTTATTTATTCTATTAACTAAGAGCGGCGAGTCGCTACTACCTAAGACAACTTCATTTCTCTAGCATTGAGTAGTTTTAGGCTCAATTTAATGTAGTAAATAGAATGGGATAATGGAGTCCAGAATTTATAAGTCCTCTCTCTTTCTCCTTATTTCATTAAAAAATTATTACTCTTGCTTTTTTCCATTTATTGAACAATCAATTCCCCATCTTCACTTTTTCTTCAAATTAAAACGAGCTGCATAAGAAGTTTTGCCCCCCAATCTCCAGAAAACTCATATTGTCACTTTTCTCTGACCTTTTCAATTTTAAAATGTCATATACGCGTTCACACACACTATTTGGGAGGCAAACACTCTGTGGCTGTTTGTTTTTTACGCATAAATCACATTCTGTAATAAGTTGTGAATAAAGGGGAAATATTAGGAAATTGTTTGAAGATCATGCGAAAAAAGTACCATCTATTGAATGAAAAGTAGCCATAAAGTAATCTTCAGATAAATAACTTATGCTATTTCGAGGATGTCAATCTCACGAATTCTGAATACCCTACGAGTAGAATATGTGCATTGTTCTATCTCATGATTATAAATTATATTTAGGGCAGCGACCATAAATTAACCTCTCCATTTTCTGCATGTATACTTCTTAAGCATATGACTTGGGCACATATTGGACGAGCACTAATTATAGAGCTGTCGCGTCAACTTAATTACGCATGTTCACTGCCTAACCATTCTCTCTCTTACCATCAGTGTGAATAGCTTTGAAGGATTTTAAGACTCCATCTCATCCATATTGAGCTCTTGTAAACTTAAGGAAAAATAAGTAATATTTTTGTCAGCATTAGTTTAAGTTGAGTATTTTCAAGTTATCGTCTATAAAATACAACAGATGAGCTGAGAAATAAGGGGACGGTGATCCGAATCCTATAGGAACAATCTTCCAATCATTTCTTCAACTTCTATCCTTACAACTTGGCCATGCTAAGCATCATAATATGTGTACCATCTTTATAAATGTAACGCCACATGTAAATTGTCCCGTTGGTCAAAATAATCTAAAAACTGAAATTCCATGTTGTGTTTAACTTCTAAGACTAAAATTCGTCTACAAAAGATAAGGTGCCAAATGGATCAAATTTGTGAAATTAGGCAGTCGTAAAAACTGCAAATCAGTAT